TTACAGGGAAATTGTAAAACTTCATATCCAGGAGTGGTCTTACAGGGAAATTGTAAAACTTCATACCCAGGATGTCTTACAGGAAATTGTAAAACCTCATATCCAGGATGTGGTCTTACAGGAAGTGTAAAACCTCATATCCAGGAGATGGTCTTACAGGAAATTGTAAAACTTCATATCCAGGGATGTGGTCTTACAGGGAAATTGTAAAACTTCATACCCAGGATGTGGTCTTACAGGAAAGTGTAAAACTTCATACCCAAGATGGTCTTACAGGGAAATTGTAAAACTTCATATCCAGGGATGGTCTTACAGGAAAGTGTAAAACCCCTCATATCCAGATGTCTTACAGGGAAATTGTAAAACTTCATATCCAGGATGTGGTCTTACAGGGAAATTGTAAAACTTCATATCCAGGATGTGGTCTTACAGGGAAATTGTAAAACCTCATATCCAGGGAGTTTGTCTTACAGGGAAATTGTAAAACTTCATACCCAGGATGTGGTCTTGCAGAGAAATTGTAAAACCTCATATCCAGGGAGTGGTCTTACAGGGAAATTGTAAAACCTCGTATCCAGGGAGTTTGTCTTACAGGGAAATTGTAAAACTTCATACCCAGGATGTGGTCTTGCAGAGAAATTGTAAAACCTCATATCCAGGGAGTGGTCTTACAGGGAAATTGTAAAACCTCATATCCAGGAGTTGGTCTTACAGGGAAATTGTAAAACTTCATACCCAGGATGTGGTCTTACAGAGAAATTGTAAAACCTCATATCCAGGGACTGGTCTTACAGGGAAATTGTAAAACTTCATGCAGAAGATGTCTTACAGGGGAAGTGTCTTGGAGAACAATTGCCAAAAGCTTCATGCAGAATCATGTCTTACAGTGGGAACTGGTCTTCACAGAGAAATTGTAAAACCTCATATCCAGGGAGTGGTCTTACAGGGAAATCATGTAAAACTTCAGGGATGGAAGCTTTTCATATCTAGGGACTGGTCTTACAGGGAAATTGTAAAACCTCATATCCAGGGACTGGTCTTACAGGAAATTGTAAAACTTCATATCCCAGGAGTGGTCTTACAGGGAAATTGTAAAACTTCATACCCAGGACGTGGTTTTACAAGGAAATTGTAAACCTGATATTCAGGGACTGGTCTTACAGGGAAATTGTAAACCTCATATCGAGGGAGTGGTCTTACAGGGAAATTGTAAAACCCCATACCCAGCAAGTGGTCTTACAGGGAAATTGTAAAACCTCATATCCAGGGACCTTTCTTACAGAGAAATTGTAAAACTTCATACCCAGGGAGTGGTCTTACAGGGAAATTGTAAAACCTCATATCCAGGGACTGGTCTTACAGGGAAATTGTAAAACCTCATATCCAGGGACTGGTCTTACAGGGAAATTGTAAAACCTCATATCCAGGGACTGGTCTTACAGGAAATTGTAAAACTTCATATCCAGGGAGTGGTCTTACAGGGAAATTGTAAAACCTCATACCCAGCAAATGGTCTTACAGGGAAATTGTAAAACCTCATATCCAGGGACTGGTCTTACAGGGAAATTGTAAAACCTCATATCCAGGGAGTGGTCTTACAGGGAAATTGTAAAACTTCATATCCAGGGGACTTACACGGAGTGTAAGCCTGCATATCAGGGGTCTTACAGAGAAATTGTAAAACTTCATACCCATGGGTATGCAAGAGTGGTCTTACAGGGAAATTGTAAAAACCTCATATCTTACAGGAAGTGTGGTCTTACATTGGGAAAGTGTAAAACTTCATATCCAAGGAGTGGTCTTACAGGAAATTGTCTTACAGGAAATTGTAAAACCTCATACCCAGGGACTGGTCTTACAGGGAAATTGTAAAACCTCATATCCAGTGAGGTGGTCTTACAGGGAAATTGTAAAACCTCATACCCAGGGATGTGGTCTTACAGGGGAAATTGTAAAACTTCATACCCAGGGACTGGTCTTACAGGGAAAGTGTAAAACCTCATATCCAGGGAGTGGTCTTACAGGGAAATTGTAAAACTTCATATCCAGGGAGTGGTCTTACAGGGAAATTGTAAAACCTCATACCCAAGAAATGGTCTTACAGGGAAATTGTAAAACTTCATACCCAGGGACTGGGTCTTACAGGGACTGGAAGGAAATTGTAAAACCTCATATCCAGGATGTGGTCTTACAGGAAATGTAAAACCTCATATCCAGTGACTGGTCTTACAGAAATTGTAAAACTTCATACCCGGTGGATGTGGTCTTACAGGGAAATTGTAAAACCTCATATCCAGGATGTGGTCTTACAGGGAAATTGTAAAACTTCATATCTAGGGACTGGTCTTACAGGGAAATAGGGGTGTAAAACCTCATATCCAGGGACTGGTCTTACAGAGAAATTGTAAAACTTCATACCCAGTGAGTGGTCTTACAGGGAAATTGTAAAACCTCATATCCAGGGAGTGGTCTTACAGGGAAATTGTAAAACTTCATATCTAGGGACTGGTCTTACAGGGGAAATTGTAAAACCTCATATCCAGGGAGTGGTCTTACAGGAAATTGTAAAACTTCATAACCAGGGTGGTCTTACAGGGAAATTGTAAAACTTCATGCCCAGGATGTGGTGGTTTAGAGGGAAATTGTAAACCTGATATCCAGGGACTGGTCTTACAGGGAAATTGTAAACCTCATATCGAGGGAGTGGTCTTACAGGGAAATTGTAAAACTTCATACCCAGGAGTGGTCTTACAGGGAAATTGTAAAACCTCATATCCAGGAGTGGTCTTACAGGGAAATTGTAAAACTTCATATCTAGGGACTGGTCTTACAGGGAAAGTGTAAAACCTCATATCCAGGGACTGGTCTTACAGAGAAATTGTAAAACCTCATACCCAGTGAGTGGTCTTACAGGGAAATTGTAAAACCTCATATCCAGGGAGTGGTCTTACAGGGAAATTGTAAAACCTCATATCCAGGGACTGGTCTTACAGGGAAATTGTAAAACCTCATATCCAGGGAGTGGTCTTACAGGGAAATTGTAAAACTTCATATCCAGGGAGTGGTCTTACAGGGAAATTGTAAAACCTCATACCCAGGAAGTGGTCTTAGAGGGAAATTGTAAAACCTCATATCCAGGGACTGGTCTTACAGGGAAATTGTAAAACCTCATATCCAGGGAGTGGTCTTACAGGGAAATTGTAAAACCTCATATCCAGGGACTGGTCTTACAGAGAAATTGTAAAACCTCATATCCAGGGAGTGGTCTTACAGGGAAATTGTAAAACCTCATATCCAGGGAGTGGTCTTACAGGGAAATTGTAAAACCTCATATCCAGGGACTGGTCTTACAGGGAAATTGTAAAACCTCATATCCAGGGACTGGTCTTACAGAGAAATTGTAAAACTTCATACCCAGTGAGTGGTCTTACAGGGAAATTGTAAAACCTCATATCCAGGGAGTGGTCTTACAGGGAAATTGTAAAACTTCATATCTAGGGACTGGTCTTACAGGGAAATTGTAAAACCTCATATCCAGGGACTGGTCTTACAGGAAATTGTAAAACTTCATAACCAGGGAGTGGTCTTACAGGGAAATTGTAAAACTTCATGCCCAGGACGTGGTTTTGAAAGGGAAATTGTAAACCTGATATCCAGGGACTGGTCTTACAGGGAAATTGTAAACCTCATATCGAGGGAGTGGTCTTACAGGGAAATTGTAAAACCCCATACCCAGCAAGTGGTCTTACAGGGAAATTGTAAAACCTCATATCCAGGATGAGGTTTTAAAGGGAAATTGTAACAAGTGGTCTTACAGGGAAATTGTAAAACCTCATATCCAAGGAGTTGTTTTAGAACAAACCAACAAGTAATGTCCATGGTTAACATCACAGGTTTATAGACTCAGGTTCAGGCTACAAGGGGGTCCTGGATAGACCTGGGCCCCATTTCACAAAGCTATCGTAGCGCTACGATTGTCGTAAGTCTTATGTTATAGTATAGGAGGTACGACAGTCGTAGGGCTACGATAGCTTTGTGAAACGGGACCCTGGTTCCCAGTAACCCATGCTGTCTGACAAGGCAACAAGAACAAAATTACTTTGGTCTTATTATACTTCCAGCCCATTCATATCTGCGGACATTGATATAGTTTTGCACAAGCATGAACACACAGCACAAATGATTATTTATTTGGAATGATGAGATACTATCACCCTGACTACTAGTTTAATAATAGTGCTTTATTATGAGTATTGATTAATATTCATGTATTGTGCAGTGGTTTCATTGATTATTCAAGAAAGTTGTCCTGGTACAACATTGAAGCGCATGACTAAATGGATTAACACAAGTCAGGCTTTGTGGTTGAGCTTCCCAACTGTGAACTAAAATGCTGTGAGGAAATACTTGTTAGGAAGTTAAATACATGCATTACAATCAATATATACTGGTGTAATTGTAAGTAATAATTAAGTTTATTCAACAAATAATAATAGCAACAAAAATGCATATGGAAACAATATAATTAAAAAGAACAGGGATATAATTTGCTAAAGTATAATTACCTGGGTTGGTGGTTCAGTGTGCTTTTCATTTTCAAATAATTTTATAAATCTGGTGTGTGCAGTTGTATGACTGTGTGTGAATGTGAGTGTGTCTGTGTGTTTAGTTATGCACACAAAAAAAGACCTGATATCTGTCTTCACATTTATTCATAAGTGACATTGGGCCTTTCACTTCCCTGGGTGAGGGTCCATTGTCTGTAACAGGGTTTCAGAAATAAAATATCAATTAAAATAAAATGATTTTAGAAATCTGATGACAAGTTGTCCTGAATGTAGATTTTATATTCAGAGGCTAGCGACAACCCTAACACATGCATTATGTTATGAAAACCTAAGGCAGTATGTGAGATATAGCTAAATGCATGGTAGAGATTATGGAGGCTCTGTACCTTCTGCTGATCTGCTGACATTGTTTGTTGATATTTTATTTTCCAGTGTTCGTGATCTGCAGTGCGATTTGATTGCTGGTCTCACAGTGGGTCTGACTGTCATTCCTCAGGGTCTTGCCTATGCCAAACTTGCCGGTCTACCTCCTCAGGTTGGTCTAACAGTCTAACAAATCTTGCCCATATTGGGCTTTCTTGTCTACCTCCAGCTCCAAATCATGCCTACATTATACTTGCTGGTCTACCTCTTCAGGGAGGTCTACCTCCAGCTCCAAATCATGCCTACATTATACTTGCTGGTCTACCTCTTCAGGGAGGTCTATTTCCAGCCCCAAAACTTGCCTACACTATACTTTTCAGCCTACTTCCTCAGAAAGGTCTAACAGCCAGCTCCAAATGTTGCCTACTCTAAACTTACCAGTCTAACTCCTCACTTAGGTCTAACCAAACTTCAAACCTTGCCTACACTAACTTGACGATCTACCTCCTCAGGTAAGTCTAAAACTATACTCCAAGTCCTTCATTCTCTGACCTGTAAGTTGGGGTAAAATGGCCAGTCTAACACAAGCCAGTGAGCCAGTGTAAGAACTTTGACTGTTTGGTATGTCCTCTGTCTTAGCAAGAACATACTGCATGTCCATACTTGTCCTTCACCTTTTGTCCTTGTGATCCAGTATGGTTTGTACTCGTCCTCCAGCTTTTGTCCTTGTGATCCAGTATGGTTTGTACTGGTCCTCCAGCTTTTGTCTTTATGATCCAGTATGGTTTGTACTCGTCCTCCAGCTTTTGTCCTTGTGATCCAGTATGGTTTGTACTCGTCCTCCAGCTTTTGTCTTTATGATCCAGTATGATCTTGTACAGTATGGTTTGTACTCCCCTCCAGCTTTTGTTTTGTCCTTTATGATCCAGTATCCAGTATGGTTTGTACTCATCCTCCAGCTTTTGTCTTTATGATCCAGTATGGCCTGTACTCGTCCTCCAGCTTTTGTCTTTATGATCCAGTATGGCCTGTACTCGTCCTCCAGCTTTTGTCTTTATGATCCAGTATGATCTGTACTCGTCCTCAACCTTCTGTCCTTCTGTTCCAGTATGGCCTGTACTCGTCCTTCATGGGGTGCTTCATCTACTGCTTACTGGGAACATCCAAGGATATCACCCTTGGGCCCACTGCCATCATGTCTCTCATGACCGGGGCCTTTGCCACATCTCCAATACAAAATGATGGCACCTACGCCATTGTGCTCAGTCTCATGTGTGGAGTGGTACAGTTCGTAATGGGAATTTGCAATTTAGGTAGGATATATTTATTTCATTTTTAAGAGACTGGATGCAATAAACAATAAAATATGTCATGACTGATTTCAATATTATTATCATAAAAAGACAAAAGAATAGAATAATTCTATAAAAAAACAGGAATTTTTTTTTTTTTAAATAATTTTTGTGCATACTTTGGGGGATGTAACATTGACCCTTTTACAACAAATAATGTCATGTTATATGATATCATGCTTGAATGATTTCATATTTATCAGGGGGGCGGTGGGGTAGCCTGGTGGTTTAAGTGTTTGCTGGTCATGCCGAAGACCCAGGTTTGATTCCCCACATGGGTACAATGTGTGAAGCCCATTTCTGGTGTCCCCCGCTGTGATATTGCTGGAATATTGCTGGAATATTGCTAAAAGCGGTGTAAAACCATACTCACTCACTCACTCATACTTATCAGTAACACTTTTATGATCAGACATCATTGTTAATGAAAACTTATTTTCTTGTTCAGATATTTTGATCAAACTTCCTTTCTGTATTCCATCATCTCATTCGAAAACAATAAGTCCACATGTATGTATTTGTTTCAGGAATCCTTGTGAATTTTATATCCTATCCAGTCATCAACTCATTCACATCAGCTGCGGCCATCACTATAGCATTTGGTCAGGTCAAGGTAAGTCAGTGTCTAGTCAGCGATTAGATCAGCAAAGATTTGTCTTGTAGTGTAATCAGTAGCCTGCACTTTCTCCGCTGTAGGTGCAGTGGGACGCAAAGTCTTGAAATCAGTCCCTCATCAAACTGAATACTTAAATTAAAATGTTTAGAGCCCTTCCTTTGTGTGGCAATCATCAAGGTGCTGTTTTACATCATGAAGCTGAAAACATATACCTAAACATATTTCTCGTTACACTCTGGGGCACTATTATTATGTGTATCCCTTGGGTGAGGTAAGGTGAAATTGGGTTTAACGACTTGCTTGAGAATATTTCGCTCATATGACGACGTGCATGTGTGTGTATGTGTGTGTGCAGCTGCTTGTACTAGCCCAGACTTAAGCTGTTTTTTTCATAGTGCTAGCCCACTGAGATACCATGCCGCAGTGAAGCATGAATACCGCACTCAGATGACCAGTCCTTGTTGAACCCATTAATGCCGGGCGCCAGGCAGGGACCAACAAGTACCATATTACATGTATAACGCTTTTGGTATGACGCGGTCAGGGATCGAACCCGCGACCTTCCGCTCTCCGGGCAGACGCTCTAACCACTACACCACAAGATCATGTATGCAGAAAAGTACCATGCATGCAGACGACCGCCCAGGATACAGGAGTTCACCTTGCATGCAGAATACCGTCATGCATGCAGATGATCACCAAGCATGCAGGGGTTCACATGCTTGCAGAATTCTGCTGTGAGTTCATTATGTTGGCAGAAGGCTTTAATGTAGTAAACTCATATGCATGAAAAATGCCATGCATGCAGAAGACCACCATGCATGTAGAAGACCACAGTGCATGCAGTAGACCCATGTGCATGTAGAAGACTACAATGCATGCAGAAGACTAACATGCATGAAGATTGCAATGCATGAAGAATGTCATTCATGCATAACATCCCTATGCATGCAGGAGATTCAGTTGCCACACAATATTTTATAATATAGTCATTTGGCGATAACTGATAGAAAACAAAACTGAAATTTAGGTTGCAGAGGCAACTGTTTTAGTAGCAAGTTCGAGGCCTGGATGTGTTCTACTTTTGCACAGTATAATGTGTTATCAACTGGTATGCTGAGGTTATCTACTCTTGGCCTCAGATATGTGTTGGGATCTTGATAAGATACTTGGCAACATTCATATATCAACATGTGATAATTTGTTAACCTTGATTCATAGTTGACTTACTAATTTTTTCATAGTTAAATAGACTATCAATGAGATGAGTTTAATATTTTTACAATGTAGCTATGGTTACAAGTATTGTTTTCCAGATAGACACTAGTAAAGAATAAGTCAGTATGGGAAGCCAAAAATATTTGAAATTATCTTTTAAAATCATTTTAATCAAGTTCCTACTATGATATGTACAAGACATTTATCTTGGAATTGTATTGATACAACTTGTACTTTGTTGGCCACTTTCACAGCAGCCAATTTAATTTAATTTTAAATGTCACCAGCATGGATGGTTTCTCCGTGTCTTTATTTATTGTCTCAGAATTTCATCAACTATCACCATTATTAGTTCTTAAGTTTCTGTCATAATCCTTTTTGCATGACTTACGGTCGTGTGATCGTTTTTGGCTGTGCAGTGATGGAAAAGAGCTTTGCTGCATTGTTCTGAAGTGAAATGGAACGGTTGACACATATCAATATTCACATTAAGAAATTTGATTCACTACGTTTCGTAAAATTATTAAGCATAACCAAATCCTCCTAGCACCGCATGCAGCTATTGAAATTTCACAGTTATACAAGTTGTAGTTGGAAAAACCGTAGCTGTCACTCAATTTATATACTGTAATCGTAGTTACTTTCGCGTGGGATTAATTTTTGCGCTTTTATCGCAAAATGATTGTGCGTCAATGATCATACCAAGCGAAATATTCATGGTCAAGTCATGACAAATACTCAAGTAGGAACAACATGCAATTTGTTTATTCCCTCAGATAACAACATCAAAACAATATACAAAGGAATAGAGGCATATACTAGTATACTAGTAATAGCGATCACAATCAGCAAATATCACAATCAGCAAATCAGCAGTTTGTCAGTTAATTGATAGCTGATTACTTGTAATCACAAAATGAACGAAACTCACTTACATCAGTCACAAATCACAATGTTGACACAAGTATAATCCCACATCTCTCTGATTGTTTTAGTAAACACGATACAATTATGGCGGCTAGCTTTGATCATTGCATGTCTATGGGTTGTGAAAACTTTGTGATTGGCACCACCACTCAGGCGTTTGTAATGCGCGAAAAAACTACTGCGCTAATAGGTCTTTGGTGAACTTTCCGCGAAAATTGCACCCAGTGAAAATATATACGATTACAGTATACTAATGTAAGGTATTATAATTCAGTTGCAACAAGATATTTTTCAAGTTTGTTATTTGGCGACCTCTGAATTTATTACAGCCGACAAAGTGAACTTACTGTTGAATAGATAAGCATTTTACTTTGAGGTCTGGATGTGTATTGGTTTTGCACTGTATAGATGCATTATCAGCTGGTATGTCGAGGGTATCTGTTGGGCTATATCATGGGATATCAGAAAGATACTTGGCAATATTTGAAAATATACATGATTAGAAAGTAATAATTTATTCACCCTTGATTCAAAGGTGACGATACTTAAAACTAATACTACCAGGTTGTACACAAATGTGAGATACTTCGACTGGGAGGTATGGTTTGGTCAGTTGCAGCTGTATTGGGATGGCAAGAAACTCAAGTCTGTCTAGGTACATTATGTATAAAGGGATGATATCGATATCAGTAAATGATAGAGCATGTTATCAGCACTTTACCTTGATCTACTGACTCCAGTCTACATAGTATGGAAGTGATGGTTGGAGGGGAGATAACCCAAGGTCAGGTTGGAGGGGAGATAACTCAAGGTCAGGTTGGAGGTCACATTATTTGATGATGATGGCAACATACCTGTGTATATTTCATTGATAACAGAGAAATTGGTGACAGGATGGGCATGGTATTTTTCTGTTTTTTCAACAGTCATGCCACATAGATACAGAGAATGTCAATCAATGCAAACCAAGATAGTTCATCAGTAATGATATGGCAATACAGTAATGATATCTTGATATTGTACATTACAACTCCTGTCTTGCAATGCATAGGATTCATTGCATAGCAAATTATATTGATGTTTAAACATGAATTGGAACAGAAACTGTTCAAGATCCAGTTTATGCAGATCTCTGGTATTTCCAGGTTAGCTCTGAATATCAAATTCTGCCCAGTGCCAACAAACTTATATTCTCACCCACAATATGACAATATGACCTTGGAAAATAGATGTACTGCATAGGGATACAAGTTGTATCACATCCATATTACAAGGATATGTATTTTTTACGGAATTTGGGATGTTATCTCTGGGAGACCTTCCTCTCAAGTCTCATCCCAAGAATAAAAATCATGAATTAATGTGATATCATTACGTGTCAGTTAGGTTTTATTATAATTTAAGCCACATTGAGCAGTATTCCAGATACATAACAGCTTGTCAGTTTTTACATGAGAAAAATGGAGATTGGTCTGCGCCAACTTTGGTGAAACCAAGGAGAATGATGTGGACATGTCACCACATTGATGCGAATTTTGAGATCAAGCCTATAATTAGTAACGAAGTAAAAGCGAGTAGCCCTTTAAAATTAACTATAATAAGCATATGACAATTTTGTGACTGTCTCTTTACAGTATGGATGATCCCAGCTTTTTATTGAATATTTTCATTTGCTTTCCTAACACGCCTAGCTTCTGCCACTTGACATGAAATCAGTCAATGGAAATTCCAAACATGGTGTATTCAAATGAGTGATATGTCAGGTCAACAGTCAAGATTGAAAAGTTTCCAAGTATTACACTTGTTATATTTGGGATTACACTTTCTTAGTAAAGTACAGATTCTAGTACTTTTGTTAGGTTGAGTCTCATCCAGGGTTCAAACCCATACTGTCAGAGTCACCTAATCGCCAGCACACAAAGTCAGCCATCTAACCCACTCAGCCACCACAACCTACACTTTCCTGACTTTATGTCCTGTACTCATCATGACGGATGTTACGGACACGTTTCATAGGCGGATCCAGAGGGGGTGCAGGGGTGCGCACCCCCACTTTTGTGCTGAAAGTTTGTTAAATGACCATTGAAACTCGGGTGAAAATGAAGTGTGCAGCCCTCCTTTTCTCAATAGTGTGACCCCCTTTCTCAAAAAGCTGTATCTGCCCCTGCGTTTACGACACTGATGAGCTGTTTGTAACTGTATACTGTATAATTTGTGTAAACAAACATTGACCTACACTTGACACAGTACTTGGTGTGGAGGAATAGATCCTAGATTTAGATCTCAGTTACACTGTTTACTGAGAACTTTGTAATATAATACTGATATATTAGACACATTCCTCTGTGGGCAGTGAACCTGAGATGACCACAATCTCCTGTATATCAGAATAATGCTTCACTTCTGTAATGAGAGCAAAGGATTCTTATTGTTACACGCATGTTGTACATGTGTGTAATTCATGACAGTATTTATGATTCATGAAAACGCAGAGATCTTGTTTCATGTGATTTGTTTTAATATCAGGGGTGAGTGAGTGAGTGAGTTAATATTTATCGTCACATTGGCAATATTTCAGCCATATCGTGACAGGTTGGTAGGGTGATTTTGAAATACCAGTTGGATTTTTTGGTGTCTAATAATTTGTTGTGCTTTGAAGTTTACAATATGTATTTTGAACAGGCATTTTATTTTAGTCTAATAAATATCTCAGTTATGATAACAGCTTCAGTATTTTTGTGTGTATTTTTAACATTTTCTATATTTCCAGGCAGCAACATTTTTGCCATTAAAAAAAAATATTCCACTGCTTTTCATTTTTTAAATTGTTTTAACATTTAAATTTTTGGAGTTGTTGGAATCATGTTTTAAAACATGCCTATCTTAAAAACAATAAAATTGACAAATACCAGGATCATGTTTGATTATGTTATAAACTGTCATACCAGATAAATGACAAGACAATGAGGTTCAACACTGTGTTATATATTTGTCTTGTCCTTCAGTTACTGATCATAGGATGTTTCTACATTTCAGAGTCTGCTGGGTCTACATAATATACCAAGATCGTTTGGTCCTATGGTGTACGAGACATTTAGAAATATAGGAGAAACAAAGTAAGTCTGTCTTGGCTTTCATGACAATTAGGCCAGACCAATTATATTTCGTGTTTTACGGATGTTGGCCTCAGAAAACCTAAAGGCAGGAGGGAAAATACATAAAAATAAAATCACCAGTCAAAGTAATATTCCTTCTAAATACTCAAAGTATTTTACTTTTTGTAATTAATGAAGTGTATATGGGGCACAAAAAAATCTAAAAAACATTTTCTTTTAAGTTTACATTTTTCGCCCATAGAAACACTAGGATTTTATTTTTTTGAGCGGGAAAATTAAATATTTTTTGTTTATTTTCTTATTCTTGAAAAAATACGACTGGCAGATCCGTAAAACAAGAAATAAAATCGGTCTGGCCTTAGTTACAATTTGTCTTCAGCAACCTTGACTTGTCGTAAGGGGTGTCTAACGGAATTGGGTGGTCAGGCTCGCTGGCTTGTTTGATGCATGTCATCGTATCCTAACTTCACAGATCGATGCTCGTGACGTCAGTTACTGGTTTATTTTGTCCAGACTTGATTATTTACGGCTAGCCCTCATATAGGTGGAAAATTGCTGAGTGCTGCGTTAAACAACAAACAGGAAAAAACAAAATGCAAAATTTGATAATTTGTTTACTTTCCTTTCACAGTTTACTTGAAAGCAATAAATAACATTGGTGACAAAATTATTGAATAGCTCATAATAGTAAAATAGCACATAGTCTACAACTCACTCACTCACTCATGGAACATTTTTAGCTGAAGCAGATTTTCTTCCGACAATGAACAATCATGGCCTTCGAGTTGGCCAACATCATGACTTCGATTTCTAAAGTGAAAACCTTAGGTGAACCTGTGTTAAGCCACGGTAACCCATGTTAACCCATGTAGTTGACCAATGTAAGGACATGTCAGGTGAGTTACGTCATATTTCAGCCTATAACCACTGTGCTCGTGGAGTGTAGTGCTCTGGTTAGCAGTCACTGTTTATGCTAATTTAGTTTCATGCATTGGTTCAGTCCTGAATAAATGAATTTTAATGAATATAATTAATTAGGGCCTGATAGTAACGGTGTATTCTGATATGCATCAGTAAAAATACTTTTTGTTTCTGATGTAAATGCTTTAGAATCAATAATACATGATTTTGCTATGACACACTTAACACTTAAATAGTTGTGTGATAGCAGTATACTGGTTGATGTGTATCTCAGCCTCCAGGCAGCCATTTTGTATTATATGTAATGGTGTATTTTATGTGTCTAATTTTGGTTATTGCCCTAAGCAAGGCTTCTTTAACACAGGTTAACTTGAATTCAATCCAGTTAACCCTGCTTTCCTAGAACTATGGTATACCTATTTGAGAAGGTTATTCAGATTATTTATAATAATAAATTCTACAGTTAAAAACAGAGTCTCCTTTTTGAGTACTTTCCCAATGATACTGGCAATTGACATGAGGCTCAACAAATGCCACATTCTTCATCTTTAAAGTTGCAAGATAGAAGAAGGAGGATTGTTCGATTTACTTGGGGAGAAGTTATTGGCCATCTCGTGGAAGGTCAGGTCTATATGTACTTAGGGATACAGGTTAGAGATTAACTCCAGAATACCCATATCAAGGACAAACTGTCCAGGGCGAATATAATGTAGACTTAATAAAGTCTGGAGATCAGAGCTGAATGCTCAACAAGATTCAGAAAAATCATAGCAAATATGCAGACTTACGAAATGTTATGCTTGCATCCCCAGTGCCCAGTTGTTTCACTCACTTGTTTTTGGTTCCCTTGGTTTGGTACCTCCTGATCTCTTGGTGCACCAGATAGGTAAAATGTGTGAAGCCCATTTCTGGTGTCCCCCGCCGTGATATTGCTGCAATATTGCTAAGCAGCACATCCTAGGAAACCATACTCACTCACTCACTCTAGGTGCAGATCAGGAGAGTTCTCGGGTTCTGACAACTCTTCTGATACTCTGGGTAATGCAGAAGTCTGTGGTATTGGGGAGTCTGAATATTCTTGGAAAGGTTTGCCAAGGCAGCACTTCCTAGGAGAAATCCCATCCTCTGTCTGGGCTGCGTGTAGTGGGGGCATGGGCCTCAGTTGATGATGAGCACTACCGGCCTGAGAGTAGCAGGACCACCTGAACCTTCTCTGCAGCATTCATCTATATAAATCTTTAAAACATATTGGAAGTCACTCCACATCCACACTTATCAGATATTTTCTTACATTTCAGTCCGTGGGACCTGTTACTGGGATTTTGTTGTCTGGTACTATTATTCTTTTTAAAAGTAAGTAAATCATTTGTATTCAAGAATAACATAACTATTGATTTCTCATACAGCAATAAAAATGTTTGCAAAGAGCAGGTATTTGTTTCCTTAACTTTGTATAACTGATTAATAATCTTTCCTGATTAACATATTTTTGTATAATATGTTTTGATGATTAAAACAGTAAGTGTATATCTTCTGGTTTTGTTCTTCTGCTTGGATTATTTTATTCTGGTCATTTCAGAAATTACGGACTTTGAAATGGGGAGACGAGGGAGAGGAGAATATCCCCAAGGTGCAGACGGTGGCCAGGAAGTTTATATGGCTTGTCGGGACGGGTCAGTGCATCTGCAATGAATTAATTGCACAGCTTTTCCTTTGTTGCCAGCTTAATTCCATTTAACACAAACGGATGTTAGCTGGGATTATTTCCTGATTTTTAGCTTTTGAATTAAGGTCTGTTTATCCTGTAACTGTTGATGATTTCTCAGAAATTGTCTAAAGGGATAATGCAGAAATATTCTTTTCACAATAATGGGACTGAAATTTGGGTCATTAGATTGAATTGAATAAATTTGAAATAAACAAAGTTGAATTGACTGCAATTGATCAGTGTCAGTGCAATCAATTATCTATTGTGAATATAAGAGGTGTCAATATACACCTACCATAGGTCGTGGAATATATTGTGAGTCTTGTGTCATGTCATAATATGTATTACTATAATTAACGTTGGCTTTTTTTTGTTAAATACTCCATGCTAGAGTTGCGGAGATAAAAGAGATTTTTGCTGTCAAACATTTACTATTGTATTTGTATTTTAGTCCAGAAACACTAAACCAAATTTAAGTTATTACAAAACTTTAAGAATTTTTAAAATTGATGCAAAATTTAAACATGAAATAGTACATAGGTATTGCCTCTTGTTGTATCATACTGTCATATTGTATCATATTATCTGCTATAGATTTGTGATATCCCAATACTGTGAATCAGATATTTGAATATGTAAATTAATAACCATAGAATTTCCAGTATCAAATAAATTTTCAAGGCATCATATCCTAAATAAAGCATATCATGTTAATGTTATTATAATCAGAAATAACGTGATTATCTCCTGAATGTCTAATAAATATCAATGTATTTAATCCTTTTGTGTTTCCAGGAGCCAATGCTATCATAGTGATATCTGCAGCCGGTATTGCAGCGTCTCTTCTCAGTCAAAACATCACTGGAAAACTGACAATCACCGGCCACTTAAAGGAGGGGTTACCTCCCTTTAAACCGCCATCCTTCTCCGTCAGTAATGGCACTCATACATACACAGCTAGTGACATCTTTAGTGTAAGTATCAGCACTATTTATTGCTACCGACTTTGTCTGGTTTCTAATGTTGTATTTTGAGAATGATGAAAAGGTACTATAGTCCATTTGGCTGAAAAGCGGACCGATGAATTGCAATCTAACTAAAAAACTAATAAACATATAATACTCAATGAAACATCAGACCAACTCTGTGAGGTTTTGGCAGAATTTATGTCCTAAAATTAAAAACGTTGTTTAACAAACTATGATGAAAGTTTTGACACAGTTCACTGTTTGTTAGGAGGGAGGAGTGCAGAAAAAGGGACAGCCAGGTGTTAGAGAAGCACGTGCACAAGTGCCGACAAAGTTATTGATTCATTAACCTGTGCTGTGCTGTCTCCATCCTTTCTTGCACACCTGGCTGTCCCTTTCTCTACACTCCTCCTCAGTAACAAACAGCGAACTGTGTCAATATTCTAATGATAGTTTGTTAAACAACTTTTTTATTTGCAGGACATAAATTCTGCAAAAACCTCACAGAGTTGGTCTGATGTTTTCATTATGATCAGTGTTTCATTGAGTATTTTATGTTTATTAGTTTTCGAGTTAGATTGCAATTCATTGGTCCGCTTTTGAGCTAAACGGACTATATTTGCTGTGAAAGATCAAGATCAGTAAAGATGAGGTGACATTCTATGTAAATATATACAGTAAACTACATATATAATGGACATATATTGTACAACATTAGAAATGCACCACCCACATAATACGAAATATCCCTCTCAGACTACAATGTACCTTTGGTATCTGAGCATCGTCGGTGCATTTTAGTGTTGTGCGTTTCTAATGTTGTTCAGTATACTTTGAATGAAATGACAAAGTTATTGTTTCTGGTCATTTGCTGTATATTTTAGTCGAAATGCATAAAACAAACTATGTATAATGAACTGAAATTAATTTCTTATAACCATAGGCTACTGTACTTAAGAAATTTATCCACTTACAGAGTTATTTCCACATTTGGTTTGATATTTTATATTCATTGTACATGTACCTTATGAAACAGATTTATCTCATATGATGGGGGGGCGGTTGGGTAGCCTAGTGGTTAAAGCGTTGGCTCGTCACGCTGAAAACCCGGGTTCGAAACCCCACATGGGTACAATGTGTGAAGCCAATTTCTGGTGTTCCCCTCCGTGATGTTGCTGGAATATTGCTAAAAGCGGCGTAAAACCAAACGCAGTCAGTCAGTTATATGATGGGTGAGTAAATTTGGTTTAGCATCTTTATGAAGAATATTTCAGCTATATCATGGCGTTCTGCTTGATTTGTGGGGAAAACAAGATGTCATGTAGTTGTTGGGTGATTACCATGTTTGTGAAACCTGCAAACACAGATATGGTGCTGACAAACCCAGACGCATAATAAGGGCAAAATTTGGAGTTCAAACCCACGGCTATCGGTTCCTGTTGCATCTAAGGGATGCAACTCTGCACGTTGAATTGCAGCTTCTTCAACAACCAGACCATGGTACCAGGATGGGTATAAAGAAATATGCTTATAATTACATGTTTTTCATAAAATGATATGAAAATTGAATTCAGAAGAATCTTTTTGTAATTAATAATGCCATACAGTAAGTGTCTGCTGTTTTGCTGTCCACAGTCTATAGGTGCTGGCTTTGGTATTGTCCCTTTAATTGGTTTGGTGGAGACAATCGCCATCGGAAAGGCTTTCGGTAAGGCTTTTAGAATTGATTATCTTGAAGAAATATAAAATTTGTCAAGGGTATACAACTTTCATAGAAAGGAAAAAAGGTTTTAAGCCCAAAAGTCATTCCACAAACTTTTAATTGAATACAAGATCGGTTTATTCAATTTAAAATCACCAGAAGCACTAATACAACTGTGATTGGTCATATGTTCATACAGGCTACTTAATGTGATCAAGTAATTTTGTTAACTTTTGTTTTCAGCCCGACAGAATAACTATCGCATTGACCCCAGCCAGGAACTTGTTGCTATTGGTAAGATATGATCACAGTGATCGAAATAATGCTTACCGTGTAATTTGTGTGCCATGGTAAAGTAGATAGTGAAATGGCATGAATGAAATATATTCACAGCGTCTGGTGGTACGCCTGAAATTATATAAATAATACTCACCATTATTCATTTAATAGATAGTGTGATATATTTGATTAATTCAAATGATTCAAAACTTATTTATGCACCCCATGAAACTATTATTGGTGACCTGTGAAGATCGGGTTAGAATTGGTCTTCCGTAACCCATGCTTGTCGTAAGAGGCAACTAACAGGATCGGGTGGTCAGTCTCGCTGACTTAATTGACACTTGTCATCGTATCCCAATTGCGCAGAACGATGCTCATGCTGTTGATCATTGGATTGTCTGGTCCAGACTGGATTATTTACAGACTGAGGCCATATAGCTGGAATACTGCTGAGAGTGGTGCTAAACAACAAAGTGGTGCCACTCTCAATCTCACATCATAACATGTATTTTGAATGCCAGTGTGGGTTAATTTGTGGGTCCAGGACAAATGAAGCTTAACAACAGCTATGTACATAAAAAAACATTGGCCTATTAGGATGTTACCAACTTTGAGAATTCTTGTGGCCAGTGACAAATATCATTCCAAATTTATCAATATTGACCCCAGACTCTAAGGTAAGCAAGATCGTGATTTATGTCATGTCGAGTGAACTGCCATTGTACTTGCTGCTTCAAGCTGTGGTTCATGCAACAGTGTGCCTCAATGTCAGTTGTCTAGTAATGGTGGTTGTGCTTGTGACCTTGCCTGCAACCTTGATAGAACCTTCTTCTGATATCTACAGAAAACATGTACATACACTGGTCCTTGACATACCCGGTTATGTATTTGTATATTTCTTACAGGGGTGGCAAATATCGTCAGCTCATTTGTGTCGTCCTACCCTGTGACAGGCAGCTTCTCCAGGTGAGACGGTCTGTTGTCCAGCTACACAATCGTGTTGACCATCACCATGGTCAGCTTGTCATCTTGTTCTATGTCTTTTTATTCTGTTATGTGAGAGAGTTGGGTTCTAACATGCTTTCAACAGTGCTCCAGTTATATCACACTGTGTCAGCTTGCTGTGGGAGGAAAGCCTGGAATTATGCGGTTCTTAAACTTAACAACATTAGTGAAACCGATGAGCATGGTATGATGCTGGCAAACCTAGAAACCTTATTGGGGTGAGCCAGCATTTGTCCCACAATCATAGGTTTCAGGTGTACCAAAGGGACATAACTCTGCACAGTGAATTGCAGCACCATAGATGACAGAGTTACCTCCCCTGTGTGTCCCTCCCTGTGTATGGACTTTGACAACCTGTACACATAATACACAAGGCGAAACATTCGATTCTAAAATTATATGCAAATGAATTACAATAACACATGTTTATTTCTGAACATTTTCATCTATAGATGTAGAATCAATATGATAATGACTTTGCCATAGCTCTAGCTTTATCAGCCATTTTCCAATATTTGTGGAGGTGCTTCCTCTTCTCTTACACATTTATAGGTCCATAATAAATTAAGCGTCACTGTGGCATGGTATCACAGTGGGCTAGCACTATAAAACCAGCTTCAGTCTGGGCTATGCATGCCTGTCATCTTCCCACCATTGAAACACCCCATGTCATTTCACTGTCCTACAGATGAGGAAAATAGCCATGCGTTTTCCCTTCTGTCATTAGTTCTTGAAATATGCCATACATGCCTCCTGACCATTTGTTGACAATGTAATTCTTATTCATTGTTTCAAAAACAATTAATGTCATTGTTTGAAGGTGTAGTGAAATGTGTTTGTTAACAGAACTGCTGTCAACTCGCAGAGTGGTGTGAGAACCCCAGCCAATGGCATATTCACAGGTAACGTCAATTCAAAATGCAACAAGTTATAGTTAAAGAGAGAGGTCTTTGGACAAAGTATAACCGCTGATGGAGAGCATGCTGTGAACACAATTTTCTGACAGTTTCTTGTTCAGACTTTTCCTGAGCTTCATTAGATACTTATTTCATATCAAAGATGTCCAGCTATTGTTTAAGCCTGCTAAAAATCCATTGAAAGCTGTATGTTCAGTAGTGTGTGGTTCAAAACATCTCAACAGTGTTGCACATCATTGCCAGGCCAGAATAAAATGACTGGCTTCAAATACTAAATTTGTCCAATTATATAGATATGGTTTGACACCTCCTTATGGGGTGTCATCAGATTGTAAATGTTTTACATGGATGACTTTGGCGTTCGTCTCTTAATAAGATGAAACACACTGAAAATTGACGTACAATCATGAACTGCTTGGAACCCAACACACTCACTCACTGTTGATCCATGTGGGTGTGGTTCCTGCAGGTGCTCTCATCCTTCTGGCGCTGGACCTCCTGACCCCCCTCTTCTACTACATCCCCAACGCGCGCTCGCTGCCGTCATCATCTCCGCTGTGCTTCAGATGGTGGACTACAAGATAGTCCTCATCCTCTGGAGAGCCAACAGTGAGTTGCATTTACACTCGGTTGTCATGAATCCCTTTTACATCCATGTGCTACATTTGAACTCATTAAAATTAAAACCAATGTTTCAACATGACTCACTAATTGTCACCGTGATTCACATTGCCACTCATGTTTCACATTTCCCCCATGATGTGTACATTCAGTTGTCACCATGACTCACATCTACACTAACTTGTCACCATGACTCACTTCTACACTAACTTGTCACCATGACTCACATCTACACTAACTTGTCACCATGACTCACTTCTACACTAACTTGTCACCATGACTCACTTCTACACTCAGTTGTCACCATGACTCACATCTACACTAACTTGTCACCATGACTCACATCTACACTAACTTGTCACCATGACTCACTTCTACACTAACTTGTCACCATGACTCACATCTACACTAACTTGTCACCATGACTCACATCTACACTAACTTGTCACCATGACTCACTTCTACACTAACTTGTCACCATGACTCACATCTACACTAACTTGTCACCATGACTCACATCTACACTAACTTGTCACCATGACTCACTTCTACACTATCTTGTCACCCTGACTCACTTCTACACTAACTTGTCACCATGACTCACTTCTACAGAGGCTGGGGTCACCTGATGGTTAAAGCTCACTTCTACACGAAGACGGGTTGTCACCATGACTACAATGTGTAAACTCAACTGGTGTCACCATGACTCATATCTACACTAACTTGTCACCCTGACTCACTTCTACACTATCTTGTCACCATGACTCACTTCAACACTAACTTGTCACCATGACTCACTTCTTCACTAACTTGTCACCATGACTCACATGTACACTAACTTGTCACCACATCTACAACCCTTATTGTGACAGCTGACTTACTGTAGTTGCATATAATTTTCATTAGATACATATTTAGACGATATTCTCCTGTTTAATTCCCAGAGTGGGATCTTGTGCCTTACACCATCACCTTCATTGCATCTCTGGCTATAGGGATAGAGGTGAGTTATGACTACAGGGGAATATACATCTTGAAACACTAGTATCAAACCTTCTAATAATACCCTTGTCTCCTCAAAACAAGAAGTGTAAATGAAAGGTGCTTGTTGTTGCCCAGAGATGAGCATTAAGTGGGACAAAACAAGTGGTGTTTGGAGTCAGTCAGTCTTGCATGTTAAATGTTAAACAAGTATGGTATCTATAGAACTGTAACGCCAGCTTTGGTCTGATCTCGAACAAGCAACCACAAAAAATCGTGAAATAATCGTGAAGTCCCATTCAGGGCAATACGATACTCTCCACCACTTAAATGTGTCACATTAGGCTTACAAAGAGTCCTAGAAACAAAGTTAGGAATATGTGTCAAGAGAATATAAAGTTATATTGTATATCGTATCCTGATTATTCTTTGATGTTTAATGGTTTCGTTATCACCTGACATTGTTTACTTCCAGTATGGCATTCTGGTCGGTATAGGCATCTCAATCTTGATGCTCCTGTATCCAACATCCAGGCCCAAACTCAAGGTATGGTGGCTGGATGGGCGGGTAGATGGGTGGGTGGATGGGTGTAGGGGGAGGTGAGGTAAATGTGTGTGGGGGTAGGGGTGTCAAGTCTCTGTGAGTGAGTGTGTGTTTTTGGGGGTGAGGGGATGTGTGTGTGGATGGAGGTGTGTGATGGGATAGGATAATGTGTACAAATAAAGTGAAGAAATAGATGGGTGGGTGGATGGGTTGGGGGTAATGGAATATGTCTTGGGGTAAGGTACTACACATGGGTAGGGGGAGGTAAATAATGTTTGTGTGTGTGTGTGTGAGAAGGCAGGGGACATGTGTTTAAGCGTGGAGTAGTTTCAGTCACTTCATCTGTCACCTGTATATGATCTGTGTTTCAACATATTCATGAAATTCTGTCCCATCTATATTTCCAGTCCCTCTCCCGTCCGGGTATTCTGGTAGTCCGACCTGACCAGGGACTGCTGTTCCCGGCTGCTGAGTACTTCCATGAGACAGTCCTGGAGAAGGCCACCAGTGGTCAGTAGTCACAGCATGGTACAAGACTAACGATAGGCTATAGTAAGCTGGGAGAAGGCCACCAGTGGTCAGTAGTCACAGCATGGTACAAGACTAATGATAGGCTTTAGTAAGCTAGGGGAGAAGCTGGTCAGAGAAGGCTAACGATAGGCCAGTGGTCAGTGGTCAGTAGTCACAGCATGGTACAAGACTAACGATAGGCTTTAGTAAGCTGGGAGAAGGCCACCAGTGGTCAGTAGTCACAGCATGGTACAAGACTAACGATAGGCTTAGTAAGCTGGGAGAAGGCCATCAGTGGTCAGTAGTCACAGCATGGTACAAGACTAACGATAGGCTTTAGTAAGCTGGGAGAAGGCCATCAGTGGTCAGTAGTCACAGCATGGTACAAGACTAACGATAGGCTTAGTAAGCTGGGAGAAGGCCATCAGTGGTCAGTAGTCACAGCATGGTACAAGACTAACGATAGGCTTTAGTAAGCTGGGAGAAGCCATCAGTGACATATAATCTGTTGATGTGAACCCCAGACTAAGCCTATATCTGTTGATGTGAACCCCAGACTAAGCCTATATCTGTTGATGTGAACCCCAGACTAATGAACCCCAGACTAAGCCTATATCTGTTGATGTGAACCCCAGACTAAGCCTTTATCTGTTGATGTGAACCCCAGACTAAGACTATATCTGTTGATGTGAACCCCAGACTAAGCCTGTCTGTTGATGTGAGCCCAGACTAAACTTAATCTGTTGATGTGAACCCCAGACTAAACTTAATCTGTTGATGTGAACCCCAGACTAAACTTAATCTGTTGATGTGAACCCCAGACTCAACTTAATATGTTGATGTGAACTCCAGACTCAACTTAATCTGTTGATGTGAACTCCAGACTAAACTTAATCTGTTGATGTGAACCCCAGACTGAACTTAATCTGTTGATGTGAACCCCAGACTAAACTTAATCTGTTGATGTGAACCCCAGACTAAGACTATATCTGTTGATGTGAACCCCAGACTAAGACTATATCTGTTGATGTGAACCCCAGACTAAATCTGTTGATGTGAACCCCAGACTAAGCCTAATCTGTTGATGTGAACCCCAGACTAAACTTAATCTGTTGATGTGAACCCCAGACTAAACTTAATCTGTTGATGTGAACCCCAGACTAAACTTAATCTGATGATGTGAACCCCAGACTCAACTTAATATGTTGATGTGAACTCCAGACTAAACTTAATCTGTTGATGTGAACCCCAGACTGAACTTAATCTGTTGATGTGAACCCCAGACTCAACTTAATATGTTGATGTGAACTCCAGACTAAACTTAATCTGATGATGTGAACCCCAGACTGAACTTAATCTGTTGATGTGAACCCCAGACTGAACTTAATCTGTTGATGTGAACTCCAGACTTAACTTAATCTGTTGATGTGAACCCCAGACTAAACTTAATATGTTGATGTGAACTCCAGACTGAACTTAATCTGTTGATGTGAACCCCAGACTCAACTTAATATGTTGATGTGAACCCCAGACTGAACTTAATCTGTTGATGTGAACCCCAGACTAAACTTAATCTGTTGATGTGAACTCCAGACTGAACTTAATCTGTTGATGTGAACCCCAGACTCAACTTAATATGTTGATGTGAACCCCAGACTGAACTTAATATGTTGATGTGAACTCCAGACTAAACTTAATCTGTTGATGTGAACCCCAGACTGAACTTAATCTGTTGATGTGAACCCCAGACTAAACTTAATCTGTTGATGTGAACTCCAGACTGAACTTAATCTGTTGATGTGAACCCCAGACTAAACTTAATCTGTTGATGTGAACCCCAGACTGAACTTAATCTGTTGATGTGAACCCCAGACTGAACTTAATCTGTTGATGTGAACTCCAGACTAAACTTAATCTGTTGATGTGAACCCCAGACTAAACTTAATCTGTTGATGTGAACCCCAGACTAAACTTAATCTGTTGATGTGAACTCCAGACTGAACTTAATCTGTTGATGTGAACTCCAGACTGAACTTAATCTGTTGATGTGAACCCCAGACTCAACTTAATATGTTGATGTGAACTCCAGACTGAACTTAATCTGTTGATGTGAACTCCAGACTGAACTTAATCTGTTGATGTGAACTCCAGACTGAACTTAATCTGTTGATGTGAACCCCAGACTAAACTTAATCTGTTGGTGTGAACTCCAGACTGAACTTAATCTGTTGGTGTGAACTCCAGACTAAACTAAATCTGTTGATGTGAACTCCAGACTGAACTTAATATGTTGATGTGAACTCCAGACTGAACTTAATCTGTTGATGTGAACTCCAGACTAAACTTAATATGTTGATGTGAACCCCAGACTAAAGCTTAATCTGTTGATGTGAACTCCAGACTAAACTTGATGTCAGCCTGGTATGGTAAAGGCTGGATGTGTTGTCGAACATCAAACTTGACACTCAATTCAACAATTTCAGATGGTCGTCAGAGGTCTGTGATCCTAGATTTCCAGCATATCAGTGGTATTGACTACAGCACAGTCATGGTGAGTAGACAGTGCTACATCGGAATTAAAATCACCCCGATAGAGTTGTGTCTGACACAGAAGCCCCTCCTATAGAGCTGTATGACACAGAAGTTTGGTGAAAGATCACATCAAACTTTTGATGGGGAAAGAATTTTCTGTTGTTTCATTAGAACCCTCTGGGTGATTTTTCCAGGGCCTGATGCAGCTCTTGGCTGAGATGAAGAGGAGAGGACTGGGTGTCATCCTGGTGAATGTGGCAGTAAGTATACCAATGCATTGTAATCGGGGCAGGTGTTGGAATCATAGCCATTAGATCCTGGCACTTATAAGAGGCATAACTCTGCAATGCAAATCAAATCAGCTGGCTTGACACAAATCAAATTAGCTGGCTTGATACTATCTAAAGGTTTGAAATTTTGAAAATTTTCACTCATTAAAGTCTCTCATGTATCCAGAAATAAATGGTTGAGTATAATAGTTCGCATTAATGACCATGTTGGCCCTGAGCTTGTGTTTGGTGATGTTCCAGCCTACAGTGATGTACAGCCTACAGAAGGCCGAGCTCCCCGGACTTGTGATCTCCAACTCTGTGGAGGAGGCGTGCGAGGAGCTGCATGTTCAGGGTAGGATCTCCCCTTCCACCTTCCTGTCTGTCTGGAGGAACATGAAACAGTGGACCAAGAGAACTCTATGAGGGGATAATCTTATTACTTGTGTTTTCACATCCTTGCTCCTTCCGCTTCAGAGGCGGTGGGGTAGCCTAGTGGTTAAAGCGTTCGCTCTTAACTCTGAGGACCCAGGTTCGATTCCCGACATGGGTAAAATATATGAAGCCCATTTCTGGTGTCCCTCGCCGTGATATTGCAGGAATATTGCTAAAAGCGGCTTAAAACCTCACTCACTCACTCCTTCAGCTTCAGTTGGAAGACTGGTAGACAGTAAAAAAAGTTCCTTTGGTTGACAACGTGACTACTAATATTCTGTTGTATAAGACGTGTGAGAAAATGGTACTGGTTTTGGTGTTAAAGCCTTGAAGATGATAATAGGAGGTCAGTTTTGATGTAAAATTAAGAGTGTGTCTTCAAATACTCTTATGATAGAAGACACCACAGGTTTTCTTTTGAAATGGGATTTCCGCAATATTAAGTCCAAAGTTGGGATTACAGTAGAATACTGTTATAACGAACGCGGATATAACGAACTGACGGCTATAGCAAACTGTTTCAAAAGTCCCGAATAACCTTATATTATATAAATAAGTGAATAGCGAACTACGGATATAACGAGCTAATTTCAGTGGTCCTTTGGAGTTCGTTATAAAGGTATTCTACTATATATACACTGAACATAACAAGTGAGGGATCATGAAACACATTTATATATAATGCACAGAAACTCAGATTCCACTGCAAAGACATATTCCCAAGAGTATTCATGATCCTGAACTTGCTGTTGTTGAGTATGTTCAGTTTGGTAAATGGGTTAGTATTATTTATAACAGTTTTTGAGCATGTTGGTGATATGGATTGGCAAGGTTTGGTGTGGTTAGTTTGTTTTTTAATAATGCACTCAGCACCATTCCAGCTATGTGAATGCAGCCTGTAAATAATTGAGTCTGGACTAGTCAATCCAATGATCATCACCAAGAGCATCGATCTATGCAACTGGGTTACAATGACATGTGTCAACCAAGTCAGTGAGCCTGACAACCCAATCCATCTTAGGACAAGCATGGGTTGCTGAAGACCAATTCTAACCCGGATCTTCAGGGGTGGACTGGCAAGGAAGAGAAACCAAAAAGATACATATGTCCTAAGGAGGCCTACATATCATTGTTATGGATACCTCAACTGGGGACCCGTGAAGATCTTGGTTAGAACTGATCTTCAATAACCCATGCTTGTCATAAGAGGCAACTAATGGGATCGGGTGGTCAGGCTCGCTGACTTGGTTGACACATGTCATCGTATCCCAATTGCGTAGATCGATGATCATGCTGTTGATCATCTGGTCCAGACTTGATTATTTGCAAACCGCTGCCATATAACTAGAATATTGATGAGTGTGGCATAAAACTAAACTCACTCACTCTGGAATGTCGATTCGCTAAACATGAATGCGTTTATCATGATTTGCGATCTTAATAGTATGCTTGTTTTTGTGTGTTCTGCAGAGGACAGAGTGTTGGATGTTGATGTCGATGTCGATGAGACTAAACCACTTATCAGCAAGAGAACTTAGTGAGGGTACAGAACAATGCAGGCGGGTGCTTGCTGGGACGGAACATTGTGTACAGGTGCATGCTGGGACGGAACATGTGTGCAGGTGCAAGCTGGGACGGAACATTGTGTACAGGTGCATGCTGGGATGGAACATTGTGTGGAGGTGCATGCTGGGATGGAACATTGTGTACAGGTGCATGCTGGGATGGAACATTGTGTGGAGGTGCATGCTGGGATGGAACATTGTGTGCTGGTACTGGTGCTGGGCTGGTCAATGCAGGCAGGTGCTTGCTGTGACAGAAGATTGTGTGGAGGTGCTTGTTCGGACAGAACATCGTGTGCATGTGCCTGCTGGGGCTGTTCAAAGCAGGCGTGTGCTTGCTGGAACAGAACTATACATGCAAATGCTTGGTTGATCAAGGCAGACAAGTGCATGCTGGGATGGAACATTATATGCAGGTGCTTGCTACGGATGATCAAGGCAGGTGCTTGCTATGGATGATCAAGGCAGGTGCTTGCTATGGATGATCAAGGCAGGTGCTTGCTATGGATGATCAAGGCAGGTGCTTGCTATGGATGATCAAGGCAGGTGCTTGCTATGGATGATCAAGGCAGGTGCTTGTTGGACAGAACATTATATGCAGGTACCTGCTGTGGATGATCAAAGCAGGCAGGTGCTTGATTGAGAACACATCTTATTGCAGGCATATTGCAAACAAGTGCTTCCTAAAGAGAGAACATTGTACCGGTATGTGTAGACTTGTTAGGGAAAAATACATTGCATACTGGCTCTTCTGTAATATGTTTCAGGGAGACACAATTTGTTTAATTGCAGGCAGATATTTGTTGGTGCCTGTTATCAGTGGGTAAAATCAATATCGTTTTGCTTGATTTACAACATGTGAATGAATAACTATTTATGCGGTTTATACAGAACTCAGTAATGCAATGATCAAGAACTGCCAGCTGCTATATAACATCACTGTCATTGTATATCCTTCATCATGTGTAATGGCAGGCACATTTGCTTCCTGTATGGGACAGATTTATAAGAAATAATGTCCTAGGACTCAAGAGCAGGCAGCATCTTCAGCTGAAGACATCACACAATATGAAATACACAATAGCAGTGCAGTGGTCAGTGTTTTGGTCATTATACAGAGCTGTGTCAAAGACAAGCAAGGGCTTGGGCTACTGATAGTGTGTCCTGACTATAGGGGCTGTTATTCAAAATATATATGGCCCTTGCAATGAACTTCCTTTCTGCTGTGTCAGCAGTTTTCCTATCTGTGATGGTAGATGAAGTTTTGTTGTCACTTGTATAAGAAGCTGATTGTGATCATTTGCAAATTTACTTTCGTCATATATATTTTTTGTAACAATGCTTATTTTTATATTGAATGGCATTTGGTATTGTACATAAAATTAATGTTATTATAAGATCAGGTATGATCTTTTAAACATCGATGGTTGTTTCTTTAACAATGTCTCAATATAGTTTGAGATTAATCAAAGTCCCAAGTGCTTGTTTACTCACTCTGACTGAATATAGTCTCTTTGTTTTTGTTTTGCCAAGCCCCCTATCAAAATGACAATCACATCTGATGATACTGTATTTTTTAAGGAATAATCCTGTTGGTATGTTAGGCAAAAATATAGTGTGAAAGACACTTCAGATTTTTTTGTCATTCAGATAGAACTTGATCCTGTATGAACACTTTTAGTAAATCCTGTCTCATTAGAGTTTTGAAGTTCACAGAAACCTATTCGGGCCAATTTTGTTCTCTTAACATGTGAAGTTATCTTGAAAATTGATGATCTTACCTGGCAACTGTGTCAGATCTGCAGAAAGTGAAGGCTTGGGAAGTTCATTGGTGGAATTAAGCTGCATCATGCTTTTAAATCTAATAAATCAAATTTCAAGGTAGTAGAAAGTTAGTATATTTCATCTGAATAACTTTAATTTTCTAACTTGAGATTTAATTTTCATGATATTTTGAATTTTCATTTAAAACCTGGCATGACCCTAATGAGCTCCATTTACTTGTATGCACAGTATATTTGGTTGGATACGCGTGTCAGTGGAATACCAACAAATTATGATTTTGAGATTTTTTCTCACATTACATTATTCAAGAGTGGGTGGAACCTGTAAGACAATTATTTAAAAAGTCTACTTTTTTATTCAGTGTGTACATGAAGTCAACAACCATGGTCAGGACAATGTCCATATAGGAATGTACATGCCCCCCTCGTGACCAGTGAACAACGTATTTATCTTACTGAACACCTTAATGTTAATTTTGAATTGTTTGAAGCACGGGTACAAATCTTTTTGTAGCCATCGCTAGATTTTGCTGACAAGAAAAACAAATTTAGAGTTATCTCCCTTCCATCAATTTGCATTCGCAAAACATCGTAATTTCCGTACATCATACATGATTCAGTGTAATTCGAGATAAAGAATTACTACCACGAAGTGCCAAATGAGTTGCCATTGACAGCGGGGTACATTGAAGTGTTACTCGCTTGTAAGCGGGGTACATTGAAAATAATAGAAGAGCGCTCAGCCAATCAGAAAGCGTCATGTATGTGTGAGGTAAGATAATTACCAATGTTGGTTAGTTGTTATTGTGACACAGCCAAATACTGTTATGTCAAACGTTGAAGTGTCAAACTTATGGTTGTATGTAAATACAACTCAGCCCATTTGTCGTCTTCCTTTATGCATCATTTTTCGGTAGTGTCAATCCTCAGATAACTCGAAGTATGTACACTGGTTTCTTCAATAACACAACAGTGTTGTGTCGAGAAATGGCTGTCTTAACCAGCTTCACTCAGATGTGATCACAACTGATTTTATTTTGCTTCTGTCATTGAAGGTCAGCTTGTCAAGACATTTGTTAACAAAATATTTTCCCCAGCTAGAATGGAACCGAATTTATCAAGCTATTAAGTGGACGCTCTATCTCACAGATACCGGGCCGACAAAGAAGCTAGTGTTGAATTATCTATTTATAATTAGGCCTACTGTCATTAAATTGATTTTACTAGCGCTTCAGTTACTGTTGATGTAGCTTCACTACATGATCATCTAATTATCCATCATTGACGGTTTATATGTATAATAAAGCACTCCTCCTCGGTTATGGTTAGGAAAGTAAGCCCTCGACCATCGCTCTTGGTCTAACTTCTCCCCACCCTCCAGTTTCGGGTCTTACTTTCCCAACCATAACCTCGGATTTGTGCTTAATCCTACACAGATTGACTGTATGGCAAATTTGTGACAGAGTAACTATGGTAATAAGAAAGAATCAGGTGTCCTTTGTCGATATCAGGAAGAAAAACGTGATACCGTTCATACATCTTCCCCTCGCAATGATGGCCAGTGACCTAAGATGATGCAGTCTGTGGGCAAGGTCACTGTAACCCATGATTAGGCAGTACTGGAGCAGGTCAGTGACGTATATGATGCAGTGTATGGTCCAGGCCACTTTACCTCAGTGTGATGCAGTATTAGAACAGGTCAGTGACCTAAGTAGATGCAGTTTGGGGCCAGTGATAGATACCTTCTGTCAATGATCAGGGCAATGTTTATTTATGTACTCACTTCAACATTTGTTACTAATTATGTTTATTTTAACTGTGCTTGACAAGCTTCAATTTTAGCTTTTCGTTTGACATCTAGTTCCCCATGATGGGTAACAAATGCATACAGGAAATATTTTATCATGTGTCTTACATATGGGGTAAAATACTAATATTCTGTTATTTTTCTATCACACTTATTATGGCATTTTTTCATATATGTACAGCAATAAACATTCTGGAGGAAAATAGTTTTAATATATTTGGTTTCTGCTGCCAGCAGATTACAAAAGAAATATGTTTAATTATATTCTTCAATGGTCACAGATAGTATGAACTTTATCAGTATTTCTTACAAAACTATTATGTCTGTGCATATTAATAACTGCTGTTTAGTATGGGCACCTGCCCAGTTTTTAGAATGTTTGATGCAATCCAGGTTGTTTGGTTGATTGGTTTGATGTTTACCGACACATTCCGCAATATTCAAGCTATTATTGCGGCGATCTTTAAATAATCAAGTCTGGACAGATATCGATTACACAACTGTGATACGATGAAGTGTGTCAACCAAGTCAGCGAGCCTGACCACCCGATCTCGTTAGCCACCTCGTACGACAAGCATAGTCGCCTTTTGTGGCAAACATGGGTTGCTGAAGATCAATTCTGACCCAGATCTCGTGGGTCTGCAATCCAGGTGCATCTGTGCATTTACTTGTAGTGCACAAAGAAAAGTCCCCAAACTGCAACCATTGCATGAATGTTTGGTCATAAATCATTATCAGCACTCACTAATCTAATCTAGTCTGTAAATAATTGAGTCTGGACCAGACAATCCAGTGATCAACAGCATGAGCATTACTAATCTGAGCACTCATTAATTTTCCTTTCATGTGAAGGTGGTCCTGGTTTGTTTAGGGACAAAATAGTGAGCTGTAAAGGGGAAATATATTTTCACAGTTCAGAGCAGATGGAGGTTTGTCTTCTGTTTGATGATGGTCAAGTCTCAGGGAGAGATTATTTTGCACAGTAGTGTACTATATTCAGGGATGAAGATGGGTATGAGTGGAAAAAGAGGAAAATGAGCCGGGGGGCCGCAGGTTTAGACGATTCACAAGAATGACCCCAGCGTGATCAAATCCACGGAAAATGTTTCATCCCTGTTTATTTTCATTTAATGGATCAACCCCCTCAGCTGTCCTGACAACAAACACAGTCAAGTAGCAGAAATGGTTTATTAAGCAAGTTCACAGCACTCTGTCCTGACATCATGATGGATCTAATAAACGCTCTCCCTCTCGTGAGTTATAAAAATACAGTATACTGACTGTCAGTAACAAAATACTTTGATCACAGGCAACAATCTGCATGGTGTGCTACTTATAGAAATATCTACAACTGGTAATGTTACTGCCAACCAGAGTGCTTCTCTGGTGGGTAACCTCCCTTAGGATGAGTTCTCTCCCTTGGTTATTCCACCAGACAAGCAGTCCAACCTTCACAAGATTGTTCACAAACCATTATGTAAGAGCCACATTTTAAAAACTTGTCAATAATAAGTTATTTTATTATCATATAAAGCCAGACCAATTTTATTAAATTTTTGTCCTCAGAAAACCTAAAGGCAGGAAGGAAAAAAATAAAAAATAGAAATCACTAGTCAAAATAATTTTCCTTTTAAATACTAAAAGTATTTTATTTTTGGCAATTTATGAAGTTTACTTTTTTGGCCAATAAAAACATGAGGAGTTTATTTTTTGAGCGGGGAAAATTATTATTTTTTTCTTCTTATTCTTGAAAACATACGACTGGCAGATCCGTAAAACAAGAAATAAAATTAGTCTGGCCTAATTAGAAATATTAAAGTCATATTCACAAGCCTTTGACAGAAAATAATAAACAATGCAAAATCATTAAGACTTTAAAGACATGTAAAGTTTTACTTGACAAAGATTTCCATTGATCTTCCTGACAATGTTGAAATATAAGATGTTTTCAAGTACTGAAACTGCTTTAGGGTGCTTTTCTATTTTATTCAGGATTCCTGGAATGAAAAGTTAAATGCTAAATGTGAAACTGGGTGTTGCTAGTTCGATTGGTCTCAGGAAAATATTTTGCTTATCACCCTCCCTAGCCCCTTTGGCAATTCCCATTTGATTTCTATTTTTTCATGGTTCCTGACTCAAATCACCAGGCCATCACTACCTACAATAAATGATGAGTTCCTTCGACTATTGTTTTTGGCTCTCAGTTCTGGAAATATAGTAAATGTTTTTTTGTGACAGCTTATTACAGTTTCAGATTGACATAAATATTATTTACGACCATTCTTGTCCTTCCAAATGGTTAAATACTGTGTCAGTATAAAGAAATAATTAAACACTCTCCTTTTTGTTTGTCTTTTGTATTTAAGATAGCATGCAACTAAATCACAAAATTCATTCAGTATATAAAAAGAGATGTTTTTAGTTCTAAAAACCTAAAAACTAAAATTGGTGTGAATACTGACAAAGATCATCAATCTCTATCCCTTAATAACATTCACACAAATGAGACAGAAAACAATTATTAAGTAAAAATCATCAAAACATAGTATAAAGGAATAATTTCACACAAATCTCTTTTCTGTTTGTCTTTTGTATTTAAGATTGTGTGCCCCTAAATCTCAAAATACATTCAATATTCTGAAAAGAGAGATATCTTTAACTCTAAAAAATAAAACTGGTGTGAATACTGACAAAGATCATCAATCTCTATAACTTAACAACATTCACACAAATAAGACAGAACAGAATTCCTAATTCAAAATATTTTAAACATGTTGGCACCACAATCAACATGTCCATACACACCTAAGGATTTCTAAATTGTCT